GGCTCACAAGTCACTGAAATCTCTCGAAGCACATTTTTCTGCGTCACGAGCCAAACGTTCGCCGAATAATGCCATCTAAACTCCTTTTCCTGAGCGAGCGAGTGAAAAAAAGCGAAAGTATCGGTGGCAGCCGAGATCGATGGAAGTCGAGAGTAGGTCCTCTCGAGGTGGAATCGATCGAGCGAGGAAGAGGCCAGAGCGAGAAGATTGCGCCCGCGGAAAAGGGGAGAAGAAAGCAATGGCCTCTCTCCCCGCGGCCATTCAGTCCGCTGGCTACCTAAGAAGACGTAAGCCGCGCAAGAATTAGGCAGAAAAAGGTGGAGCACGCTCCTCGAACGACCGTAGTGTTTGGGTGTTTATACCTGCTCCTTAGAAAAGACCTCTCCCTCCCCCCTACAGCTGAATGCTTACAAACAGGCGGTTGTCAGATTTCTTTTATCTTTCCTGGGGCATCTGTGTGGCTGATGCCTTCGGGGCGCTACTCCTCTTTTGCGTTTCCTCTTTCTTGTTCTGGCGACGAGGCCTCTTCTTGCGCGACCACCCTCCGACAGCGCGCGATTATCGATGCTGGAGATGGGAAACGTTCTTATCTACGCATTAATGGTATCTTATATAAATTCCTTTTCTGTTATGCTTCTAGTTCTCGAAACGTTGTGCCAGCCAGTTTTCAAATTGACCCTTTAAGCGCCAGAGGAAACTTTCATACATATCCGAGAAACGCCAGAGAATTTTAAGCAAAGATGCATGATTGTGAACAGAAACGGTATATTTCGGTATAAATAGGCAGACTAAAGAAGACACCGACTTCTCAGTCGTTATATGCGTATTACGGTATTTGAAGTAAAATTGAAGTGCACAGATAAATCTACGTACATTAGATAACGAGGTTATTTTCGTAAAGCAAAATTGATTTTTTAACGAGTTCTAACACTTACTGCTTCGAGCAGCGATATATCGCTCTCTGGCAGGCAAAGGATTACACACGCAATTTCTTTTTCAATTTTAAGCGAAATTACAGGAAGGAAAGAAAAATCCTTTCTTACGGTTTAATTGAGCTGGTTGGAATATAAAATAATGCGAGGAGTAATTTAAAGTAACAGCGTCACGCATTAGGAGAACGATTGATAGTTTTCGGAGGATCGAGAGGAGCTTTTAGACGTTCTGTTGGGAAGGTTGTTTGTAAGGGATGAAGATCTTCTTAGCGATATCCCTTTCTGCGCGGACAGCTCGGGTTTGTTTTCCGATCTTCTTTCGTTTGTAGACTGATTACGGATTTTCAAGTCTTCGATGTCCCGGTGCAGTGGTTCTCTATTTTCTGTGGCTACCGTTCAGTTACGCCGAGCATCTAACTCCTTCATCCCCTTAATTTTGATGAAGCTTTGTGCGATACATCTCGGGAAACACGCGAACGATGATGTTTAATAATTTTCTGTTTTCTTATTCCAATCAGGACATTGAACCAGGCTTGTCTTTTCCGATAGGGTGTCTCTCAGTTCAATCACGTCCCCTCCTGTCATCGATTAAACGAACCTTGTCGAGCATCGATAATCAATGGACTTAGGGGGTGTTTCTTGAGCCAAAGTGGTCCGAATCCGTGTCACGAGAAATTTGGGAAGCCTGTGATTTAGGGAAATTACCAGAAGGCCACAGTCATTCTTAACCCTTTCCACTGGAGAGGTAGAAGACGAGCGAGGACGAGAGCAAATCAACCAGCAATAATGTTTGTTTAGATTTCATTTCTTTGTGACTCGAAGTGTCAATAAAATGATTGTCAGTGTGGCAAAGTCTGATTCTCAAATCTCAAATTAGAGATCTCATTCTCGAAGTCGATCTAAGCTTAGCATTCGTGGCGATAGAATGCTAAGAAAGTATCTCGAGTTTCGGATAGATACCAGAAAAAAATATGCAGAGTTAAAATTCCCGACAGTTACAACATGTCCAATCAAAATCGAAGCTCACCAATCAAAACCCAAACCAAAGTCCCTAAAGTACAAGCTCCCTCCCACTGCCTGCTCTACCTCCCTAGATCTCCACCCAAATCCTACACCTTCCAACGCCTAACGACCGCGCCGGTCAATTAAAAATTCCAACAACGTCCGAGGTTGGCCAATCGATACCAGATTGGTGTCTCCGAACACAGCTCGCAGCGATTAAGGCATCCCAGCGGTAATCGATGTGCCAGCTCGGTCGGCTCGACCGACAAGCCCCCGCGAGGAATCGTCGACGATCGTTGCCGAGCATGTGCAATAGGAAAGTGCGTTGAGCAGGCGATCGGATCGCTCGACGCGGAGCATGACTGCGAAGGGAAGCGTAGCCAGGAACACGGGGGAGTTAGTATGGCTTCCGAAGCCTCAGCTTCTGACTACCACCTTTCGGTATCGCCCTGTGCGGAAACTCGGCTACCTACCTACCTACATTTCACCCGGACTAAATCGTCGCCGCAAATCGGCGCTCGCGTTAAGTTGCTCCGTCGCGACGCGGCGTCAAGCGGTCGCAGCTGCACTTACCGCGCTGATCAGGAGTAACGATCGTTACACGGCCGTTGAGCAGCTGTAACGGGCGACCCGTTAAAATGGCCGCTATAATTGAGAGTTCTGGCGCGAGGACGCGACGCTGGGGTCTCCAGGGGGCGGATACGGGACGACGAGACCACTGCGGATACTGCGCGAGGTCTGGTAGCGAGGGCGAAGAGGACCGTTTGCGTCCGTGGTGTGATCGAGAGTCATTTAGGGCTGGGGCGAACGGAGGAGTGTTTATGGTTGCGCCTGTAATCGGGAAGTCTGAGAGCGTGTACACGCCGGGAGGCTCTGTTTGGCGAACTGTGATGGAGAGGAGTGGCACGAGCTGTGGAGGGGTGAGTTTTAGGGGTTGTGATGCGATTGGGGAATCTAGATGCAAGTCTGTGTTTTGTGGAGGGCTTGATTTCTGATTTTGTTTTAGTTAGGTGGAGTAGAGTGGGATGTACACTTGTTTAGGCATTTTAAGTCGTTAGCTCTAAACACAGTCGCAAACTCTAGATGATTATTGCGAAAGATTCTAGTCATAGATGTTGATTTTGATAGTTTGATCGACTCTATTTGTAGGAAAGTGACACTAGGGCACGCTTGTCTGAAAATTCTGATTCGAGGTACTTTGCTCTAAACACTCTCACAAGCTCTAACTGCTATAACATCAGATCTTCAACTGTATGAATCTAATGTTGACAGAAAAATATCGAAATATATTTGCTTGAGAATTTCGACTACAAAGATTCCTTGCTCTAAACACTCTCACAAGCTCTAACTGTTATAACAAGGATATCCAACTGTATGAATTTAATATTGACAGAAAAATATCGAAATACATTTGCTTGAGAATTTTAACTACAAAGATACCTTGCATTACACACTATCACAAGCTCCATCTGCTAGAGCTGCATCCAAGGGCTACAATCACAAACATGCATTCTCACACTTACTATCCACACCAGCGTATCATCAAACTTCTCTTATCTGAGAATTATTACAGAAATTTGCTAATTGTACGTCTCTTATAAGGTCTCCACGCCCATATCAAACAACTCTATCTGCACACTCCAATTCGCAGCCACTCGAACTCCCGAATCCATTTCTGAATACACTTGTCGAAGCACTCCAAACCCTCCAAACACCAAGCCATCGATTACAACTCTAACAACCCCCTTACCAGAGGCTTCGCTAGGAATTCTCCACACCGTTTACAAGAGAGCGTCTCGCTGAGCGTTTCCGTTCACCCAATGCGCGTGTCGTACGCTCGCAGGTACGACTCGAGGAGAGTTTCACGCGGCGCAGGTACGATTCGAGGAGCAGAGTCTGCAGCCATAAGCGGATTTTCGCTCTTAATAATGAGGCTAAACGAGCGGGGCTCGGGTGTCATTGTTGCGACGCAAGCGTCGCTCTTAATAGGCATAACTCTCGAAATTCCTTTTGAGCTCGAGGGCCAAGTAGCCCGGGGGTATATTAATGGCTTCCTGGTGGAGAGCGACGAAGGGCAGGAGGAGGGCCGAAAAGTGCAGGCACGCCTGTGTAACGTTCGCGAAACGATCTCTGGAGAAAGAGACGGAGAATGGGCGAATTCACTTCTGCGCGGCTGTGGACTGGATAAAATGGGTTTGGGGAAACATTCGCCTGGTTTTTCGAGGGATAGAAGACAGGTTCGGGTGAATCGAGCCCGACGCCTCGGACATGGTCACCGTTCGAGTTGTAAACTCGATGGGCTTGCCTCGCATTGAAAACGTTCCGCCGCTGGTAAAAAAAACGTGGCCACTGTTTTAATCCAAGTTTTTTAGCGGTGTTTTATTTAGAGCGAGGCTTTAAACGGCTTCCAGCCAAACATTTTCGCTAACGGTTTCACTTTTACGACTCCCGCGCTACGAACGGCCCAGAAAACTCGCGAAAAATACGACCGGAGCGCCGTTTCGTAGATCTGTAAAACCATGCGAGGCGATCGAACTTGGAGCTTTAGCTCTGCTCGAATCAGCTGTTTCCTCCTGCACTTTCGGCGATGTTGTTTCTTGATTAATTTATTGGAATTGTAAATTCATTTTTTTTGTTTTTAAATAAATCTATCAAATAGTAGACGTTTCGCGTAAATATTACAAACTACACTAAATCCATATCAATTGGTGAATGTTTCCGGGTAGACACTACAGGCAGATGTCAGTATAATAATCACATAAATAACAGAAATTAGAGCTTAAAAGGAAATAACACTTCCGGCTTCATTATTCAAATAACTCTCGTACCATTTTCAAACTTGGCAATACAAGGAACCAATACATCACCTGTCGATCATGTCTTCAACCCTCTGCTCCATATTTTCCCATTACTACAATATTATACAGTGTCTATGCTCCAAGAATTTCACCATTTCCCTTCTTTCCTCAGAAAGTGCCAAATTCAAAAAGCCTGTGTTTAATTCTTAAAGTTGCATCGACCTGCGTCAATGAACACACGAAACTGACAGAGCACGTATTCTTTCAGATTGGGCCTGATGTCGTCACTGATAGCAGGACGCTACCCAGTGGGAATAGGCGTGGGTGGGGTGTTTTTCCCGTCGACGCTGCAGCACCTTCACCAGCAACAACAGCATCAGCATCACTCGCGGCTGGCGGCCGCGTCGTCGGCGCTGAGCAACGCTGTGCAGGTCACCGGCCAATCGGACATCGTCGACGCCGACGGCATCCGCGGCGTCCTCCCCAGCGGCGCCGGTTGGCCGTTTCCATGGAGGCCGACACATGGCCTGCAGACGCTCGAGCATCCGTCGCCGAGCGACGTGGTGGGCTCGCTGAGCCGCGTCAGTCCTGCTTCCGCTTCCTTCCCGCAAAGGGGTGAGTTGCAGGGATGAAACCAATCGAATTGAATTCCCGTTAAGGTAGAGCCGCGGTTCGAAACCATCGAGTTATTGTTTGGGAGGGTTATATGTATGCAATGGCTAGGAATTTTCTGACGATTTTAGAGGCTAATTTATTGAAAAATTACGAAATTTTGGGAAATGGAAGCTGAAACAGTTTAGCTCTGGTAAGAACTTTTAATTTGACTCTAACAAGGTATAGGAATCAGTTGAGGATCTAAGTGTTAATACACATTTAAAATTACAGTAGGATTTGCTGTGAGATTATAGTTGAGGGTTAGGTCTGGTACTACCTCTAATCACTGTCAATTCTTTTCTCAGCTGAGATTTGGAGTAAATCTCTAGTTGTTTTTCGCATGCATGGTTAAACAGCTGAGAAAATGTATACGAGTATCTATTAGGGAGACCGAAAGGTATTCAAAATTTTATCAACATTTATTTATTAAAGAAATCTTAAATACTAATCAATAAACTAATTTCCATCATTTTCTGACACTTTTTGCCTGCGTAAAGGCAGTTGCTCGATTTCCCTTTTAATAAAGTCCTTCGATTTTTCATTGAACAATTTTTCCAAGTCGAAGACATTTTGATTACTTTTCGATCCCTCTAATATATACTTCAGGATTTCTGATACCAGTCCAACTACCTCGAGAGAAGTCAACAGTGACAATTTCTGTGGCGGTGAACAATCATTTTAATTGTGAATTAACAGAAAAGCGGTAGTGAGGGACTCGTGCTTAAGTCCTCTACCAACTCTATTTATCTATGAGAAGGGAATCGAGACCAATTATTCTCAACACTAGTGTTTATTAACACCAATTCCTAGCATTAGAGTGTATTTATTTGCAAAGACAAAAAAGATTAAACCTGCCTACTCACGATAAAAGAAAAAGGGACCTTATGCAATAAATACATACTTCCTCGTTCGTTTTACCTCGTAGCTTTGTTTCTCACCAAGTGATCAATCTCAATTTGTTACTTCGCTTTAAATTGTAGAATATTCTCCTTCCCCTTAAATTTGAAAGATTTACTGCGATCACGAATGATCCATCAAAACATCTCTGAATCCCACCACTGATCCAGGCTCCTGGTTTTCGAATTTTGTTTTCAATCGCGATTCTATTGTTGTAGCATTCCCGGGTTACTCGATGGTTTAGTTACATTGGATTGGGTTTTTATCAACCCTCCGGGGTGCCGATACACAGTTTACACCGTGTTTCATGGTATATGGAATTGTCGAGACCTCTGGATCGACGAAGATAACAACATATTCGATCTATCGGACGTTTTAGCGTTTGAGAATAGACTTCTGATATATTACTCGAAGAGAACTTGAAGTTAAATTGTCTGAAACATCGGCATTATAATTTATCATTCAAAATATCCATTTTCTGTTTATTTTGTGTCCAACTTAACGATTTCTGTTCACAACTCGAGTACAATTCTCTACAATATTGACGCAGACGAAAAATAGGCCTTAAATCGTAATTAAAATGAAGTAATTCGCAAGTTTCATTTCATTTCAAGCTCAAATTAGCCAATTCACTGCCAGGCAAATTTAAAGCGTTTTCCCTTGGGCGTCAAGATTTAATACAAACTATTAAATTCGTTGTTTTGAAAAGAAAATTTACGATCTTCTCTTGCAATATCGTGGCTCAAAAGGCTATAAACTTATCCCTCGAGTAATTGCAATCAATTTGAACTACGAGACATCTCGTGGTTGGCAGTGAACGGGTTAAAGAAGAATTCATCTTCGCTCTCTTTTTGTGCCAATGCCTCGATTGGATTGTACGTTGTCCTCGGTATGCGTGTAATCACGTCTCATTGTAGGATCATATATTTAAGCTAGTCGAGCACAATAGATCCATAAACATTCCCGTGGAGAGCGGCGGGTTACCGAAAATCGCGCGGTTGAATACAATATTCTATATACACTAGATAGACGAGGCTGGGTGCTGGTGTACCTATCGACGAGCAATGAATCCAAACACCAAACGATTAACGTGATTGGTTCGTTGTTATAATTACTTCGATTAACTATGCGCAAACAAATACCGGATCGAATATCATTTCTTCTTCGAATTACGGTAGCAGCTACTTAAAGAAATTAAAATGTTAAAAATAATAATGAATATAGTAATGTTATGGACTGTATGAGTTAAGATATACATAAGAAAGTACTAATGATAATAATAATAATAATAATAATAAAAAGAAGAAGAAATAAGATATTGAAATTAGGCTGTTGTTGTTTCAAATTGCTACAAAATTCCTTTAATATAAGGCCTTCTATTCAGAGCAATTCGAAGATGCAAGCTTGAGTCGAGACAGACTGAATTGGCCACTCAAGGTCGCACACAAAGCTTCCCCCACTCTAACACTTGACTATCTCCCACTCTGTGATCAACCTTGCAGACATTCTGTCACTCAAAAGATATATTTATCTTCAATTTACAGTTACAAACATCGATTCTTTTATTTAGATACATGTATGTACATTCTTTTATTTAGTATACATGCTACAAGAATTATATTCTCTTACAGACTACCATTTTTCTTTTTCAATTTGCAGAAATATTTCTCAAAACATGTACTTGTAATATAAATATACAACATTTAAATCACGCCTTCCCTATCATTAGGAAATATTCCCAAATATTTTCATCAGCCATCAAGGAGTTCTTCATCCCTAAACAAAGAGGGCAAACGCGGTCTTCTACCCCTCCGAAAATATTTCCTCGTAAACGAAAAAGCTTCCAAAGGTAAACTACCGATTGAAAGAGACAAAACAACGACTTAGGTGGAAGTCGTGAAAGCGATCCGGCCTGTTTGATTTTGCGGCGTGTCGGGGCAAACCAAACGAGGGATGTTTTCGGATGAGATTGAGGGAGGTGGCGATGATGGAACGTCGCAAGACGAGGATCGTAAAAGAGCAGAGAACGGAACGGAGAGAAAAAGGCAAGGCGAGGGTCTGTACACGTTATACGTAAGTGTATAAACGCGAGCGTGGACGGCGAGCAGTATGGCTTCCACGGCTTCCACCACGACAAACGAACGTCGATCGCCTTACCCACCGATCGTTTTACTCTTGCCACTTCACCAAAATACTTGGCTGACTGCTAGTTGACTGCTACACGAGAAGACGATGGCCGAATATTAGATAGACGGAACTAGACCTCACCCTGGGAGGAATTCTGATTTAGTGAGCTAAATTTTAAAAAAATTAAGTAACCTATTTTTAATGAGGTTGGCTCACCATTGGTCAGAATTTTTGGTATAACGGAATAATTGGTGGATAAATGTTGCGAACGATCAATTTTTTGTTTATTTTGTAGACAGGGTAAATCGAACTCGACGAATCTGGGAAAAGTTGTCATTCGAGATCTTTCAAAGCAATCTGAAACTGTGTTTGTTAGATTATATAGAATATGTAGTAGTCGCACGCTGGGAGTTTGCACCTGAGTCCAATCGGTCGATTTTTATTTTATACGAACTTATCCAGAAAAGGATCAGTTGAAACGCCAAATCCTCATTTTACCAAGTCATTCGAATTATTCATATTAAAACGAATAAGAATAGATGCTTCTAACCCTCGAATTACTTGAATAACGAAAACTGTAATTATAAACCATAAAATTGTAACTTGCAATGGCGAGTATTTCGAGAATTTCGCAGACAATATCGTTGCAATCGGAACTGTTGGCCGACATGCGTTTTAAATTAACATTAATTAGCGAAACCGTGAATTTTACAAGGGATTAGCGAAATCGCGCGAAAGGCGCGAAGTACCAGGGCGGGAGGGGGGGGGGGGGAGGGGAAATGTCGAATAATCCATCCGATCGATGAAAAAGTTTCGCGCGAACGCGCGCGATCCGAAGCAATTACGTCAAAGTGGATAAATAGAATATTAATTAGGAGACTATCAATCGACTACATGTTAAATGCAACGCTGCCGGAGATGAATAGCCCTGTGATTAATCGAATCCGCGCCGCTGGAGCGAGTTTATTCATCGACAATATCGAGAGAGGGATCTCGTCGTCGATCCTATCCGCGACCACGAGGAACGCTTTAAAGGACCGGTTAATTAACGCATTTGGTGCGGCAAACGATCTGCAACAATCACGAACACCAAATAAATAGCGCGATTTGCGAAATCATGGCTCTGTTGGCTCACCACTTGCCTCTGCTGTAATATCGTTTAAATTCGTTCAGTCGATGCAATTGTTGTATTAGCAATTGTTACTGCATATTTCATGAAAAAACTATCGATACCATAGCCGTCCCCACGATAAATGTTCTTCGATTAATATTTGGTAAGAGTTTTAAAACGATTCATTGAATAGTTTCTTTTCAGTAAATTCTGGAAGATGCACTTTATTCTGAAGTTCGAGCATTATGCGTCTAGAAGAAGTTACGTTGGCCTTATTTCGTCGGTGCCTGACGCAACGCAAATACGATTAAGTAGTTTCCATTTCCTGAAGGTCAATATTTGCTTAGGTTGCAGATTATTAGTGTAGCAATACATCTGTTAGGGTAGCCTGTAAACTCGAGGATTATGCTCAACCTTCATGTTCAAGAAACCATTACAGTCTCTACGTCCTGAGATATTTACAGAATCGTTATTCAATCTTAGCAGTTTAGAAATATCTTAGTGCACCAAATGCGGTGAATCTTCGATAAGTATCGCAGGGCAAAACAGTATCATGATTCATTAATAGCTCGATATGGTCAGTGGAGAGGTTCCCAAAGCACCAGTTTTGTAAGTAGCAGGAGTAACCACGCGATAGTTACTGAACACAGGCTTGCGACACTTATCGAACAACTCTCTATATCTCAGAAACTATTACTTCTACGATAAACATGCTTCAATACTTTTACTCTCAGAATTCCTCTCAGAATTCCTTCATCGAATTCTTCCATAAAGAATTAGTCATCCCACCTAAAACAACAAAATTAACCCCCAAATCTCCTCTACGCTACCACTCACCAAGAAACTGTTGCCAACATATTATTAACCCCTCTAGGTTGAACAACTTTCGTTACCAATAATTGCCAAACTACATCGAAACAGATTATTAGTTAAAGTCCAAGTTCGGTAGGGCAAATATAAACGACCTTATTGTTCTCCGTGCGATTGGGCGTGTTTTCCGCGAGTAAAATATCGAAACAACTCGCCTGTGCGCCGTTCACGTGAAACGTAGAAAGCACTTAAGCTTTTATCGTTCGAAATACACGAGAACCGATACGAAGTCGCTCGAGAGGACGATAATGCGTTCGTTTTTAGTAGCTGCGGTGGCGGAAGACTGCTCATCGATATCGATTAACGCTTCAATTTGTCGGCACGCGCGCGCGTACGCGATAATGGAAACATACGCTTCGAATCCAGCCGATGATCGGTAGTTTATTGTCATTGTGGCAAATGCAGAGAGCCAAATGGATAGTATTGCTACCGGGCGTGATATAAATTTCTACGGTCTCGGCCATTAAGCTGCGCTTGCTTTACGCGAAAATTGGTTCATTCGCGTCACTCTTTCCACATCAAGATCGTTATTCAAGGTCACACTGGTGCCCATTGGCGAACACTTACATTAGAAGTGGGAAGATGATACCTTCTGAAATATTACACCTGTCTTTTGGAAACAAAATTATTTTCGATGACCCTGGGTAACCTTGAACTGTACTTGTCTGCGCATGTCTTAGAAGTCTCTGGTGGAAGATAAACGAAGATATGTAATTGAATTAAAAGAACAAGATTGTTTGATCTTGAAGTGTTCTCAGCCATTAGGTAGCCTTGAACTATAACTCGTCGTATTTGTCTTCAAAGTCGCTGTGATAGTAAGAGCATAAGTTTTCATTATCCCTCTCATCCCCCCCAAAAACGACCGATCGCTACGAATCAGTCTCGCTAAAATTCTCAACGACTCGATTATTGTTCTGCGCAGACGACCTGGACGACGAGAACGGGGAGGACCGTCTGCACCGGACACGGAGTCCGTCATCCGGCGACGAGGGCCACGACGACCTCGGGGAGCAGGACGACTGCCAGGACGCCGACGGGGAGGGTGAATCAACGAACTCGACGGGCCTGCACGGCGGCGGTGGCACGGGGAACGGCGGCAACGGTGGCGGGAATCCGAACAGCGTCCAGGTCGGGGTGGACGGACGCGACTCGAGCAGCATGAAACGCAAGAAGAAGACGCGCACGGTGTTCTCCAGGTCGCAGGTGTTCCAGCTGGAGAGCACGTTCGACATGAAACGCTACCTGTCGTCGTCGGAACGCGCCGGTCTGGCGGCGTCGTTGCGGTTGACGGAAACCCAAGTGAAGATCTGGTTCCAGAATCGTCGTAACAAGTGGAAGAGGCAGCTGGCCGCCGAGCTGGAGGCGGCAAACATGGCGCACGCCGCGCAGAGACTGGTCAGGGTGCCGATATTGTATCACGAGGCGTCAGCCGGCACCGGGGCGTCAGGCGGTGTCTCGGTGTCGGTGGCCGCACCGCCGACGGCCGCTGCGCCAGCGTCGGTCGCGACGTCGGCGCTCTCCCACTCGGTCGGCGTCGGCGTCGGCGTCGGCACCTCCTGCCCCCCTACCACCGCGCAGCCGATCTTCTACTCCCATCACCATCAGCACCACCATCATCATCCGGGTCACGTGCAGGCGCACACACTCCTGCCCCACCAGGTACACCCACAACCGCCGCCCCCCCCGCCCCCGCCGCCTAACGGACAACCACCCCAATCCTCCTCGCAATAACACCGTCCGGCTCACGAGACCGTCGGCCCGCCGCAACCAACCGTCGCTGACAGCACGATGTCTCTCTCGCGAATCGCCACGATCGCGTTGTCAGGTTGAAACACTGGCATTTGACGTTCTTGGACCGTCGGGGATGCTCACTGGACGATTGGGTTGGTTCGATCGGGTTGTCTTTTTTCGGTTGCTTTGGGGTAGACATTTTTCGAAACCTTACTCGATGGAGAATCGCGGGGATGTTTAGTAGCAGTTTTCTAGGGAAGGTCGGCAGGTGTCGATGAAGATTTTTGTTAATTTCGATGTGTATCCTCCATCTTGACCTTTGTTCATCTTTGGTTGCGAACAATTTCGTAGATAACGCTTTAGAGTTTCACCGAAGCTAATAATAATGGTTGCATGATTTTATTTTCGTAAAGAGAATTTAAAAAAATGATACTTGACGCCATATAATGTGCTCGTTGAAGGTCATTTAGAGACAAGCAGGAGATGTTAACGTTTCACTTTTAAATTCGAATGTGATTGAAACAGAACAGTGCGTCGATTTTGTATATAAAATTTATCGTTTCAAACGTGAGTCAAACAAGTTCATCAAGAATTATATTGTAATTAAAATAAATGAAAGTCGAAGGTTCATTGTATCTATGGAAATCTAAGGGTAGCTATGTTGCACAAAAAGTGATACCGTGTGACGTCATTCGTACTTGTGGAAATGGCCTTCAGCGACCAGCTTTTTTAACTTCGAGTAGAGTGTATCATACTTCAATGGATTACAACCGTAAGTAGATGAAAGAAGTAATTAAAACTAGAGTTCTTCAAATTCTCAAGGCTTTTAAAAAATAGCAATCCTACAGAATTTCCAAGAATCTCAAAGATTTTATACAGAATTTACAAAATTAAGAAAGATCAGAAGTATACAATTTCTTCTTCGATTACTATTTATATAAAATGAGGAAACTCGTTGAGGAAAACGAATTAAAATCAATTTTGATTCGAAAGAACTCTACGAGTAAAGGTATCAAAAATTCGTCCAACCCCAGGCCCATCTGCCGATCCGATTCTCCAGGTTCGTCGCGTCAAATCTTTCAATTTCACGTTTGAAAATTCCGTGTTTTTCACATCGTGGTTTCACCGACGTGGACAAATTAATACGATCGACAATCAAATTTAAAGAAACTTTGACCCCGATTGCAGGAACTTATCTTGAATAGCCTATAGTGAATTACCAACATTCAGAAACTGTTTTTCTGTTCTTGATTCTTGAAACAAAGAGACTACTAATTTTATTTACAATTGTTTCTAGAATCAAAAACAAGAAATCAACTCGTGAATTTTACAACTGTTTTTACTAGGAAAACACTGCAAAACGATTCATGCTCAAAAGCTGCTCAACGCGAGTAATTTTTGTTTATTAGCGAGCATTTTATTCAACGCCATCCAATAAATTAATACGATCGTTACAATGTACATTGATGAAATAATCGAACAGTCAATGAAAAAAGTCGTAATTTTTCTATAGTATCGCATTAATTTGGCCACGTTCGCGGAATGTGGCAGAGAGACGTGCGTTCTCCAGCGAGGTTTGGGCCTTGCCGCGATCCCACGCGACCGTCGACTTCCGGCAAGTCGAAGGAAACGTTGTAATATAAGTATTGTATCTAGTCTATCACTCGTCGATAAGAAACCGCTCGTGGAACGATTCCGAAGAATATTTTGTCGAAGAGCCGCGGGACAAGCACGGCACTGTCCTAAATTCTCTCTCTAAAAAAAAAAAAACACCTCCTCTATTTATTTTCTATTTTCTGTGTTTTTTGTTTTTTTAGATTCGTGCGTGAAGATTATTTCTACGATCGAAGTGGACGTGTCACTTGTAAATCGGGGACGTTGCAAAAGCGAAAAAACGAAAACGAAAACGAGAAAGAGAACGAAACACAAAAAGTTTT